CACACACACACACACACACACACACACACACACACACACCCCCCACCCTCCCACATACACGTCTCCTGGCCCAGTTAAAAACCTTTGCTTATCAAAGTGGCAGGACCCCTGGGAAGCCCCTTGTCCTCCCCCAAGATGAAAGTATGAAAGTGGCCTCTCCCTCCTAGAACCTTATCTGAGCATCTCCCTAGTCTCAGGTTCACGGCTTTCTCCACCATCAGTTAATTCCACGAGTTTTCCGTTTGGATTCAGTCTCCACCCCCATGCTGCCCCTTCCCTTTCACCCTTCTAGCCCCCACCATCATGCCCTCACCACAGGAGACTCAGACTTCACCCTGGGACCACCCTAGGGTCTGGTGTGTGAGTGGCTTTCTGACCTAGTGTGCTTGAAGCCAGGCCCGGCACACGTCTACCCCCCCACATTCTCTCTCTGCTTCATGGGTACCTTCCCTTCTAGAATGGAGACTTCTTGAGGACAGGGCCTGTCCTGTCTGTGCCATCTGCAGCCGCAGCACAAACTCTCTGCGAGGCCATCTCTCTCTCCCCCGTAGCCTCAGCACACTGCCCAGCACAAAGTGGGCACCTACGTCTACGCCCACCTTCCACCCTCTGCCTCTCCTGGTCTCCTAAGCAAGGCCAAGAGGGCTGAGAGGATGGTGCAGAGCGAGTCCCTACCTCTCCTCCTCCAGGTACTTCGCAGGAAGGATGAAGTCTTCGATGGGGATCAGCTCCTGCGTGGCCTTCTCCAGCTTCTTAATCCTCTTCTTCAGCCGGTCCTTGGCGGCTTGTTCTTTCTTAGGATCCACCTTCTTCTTCTTCCTGAGAGGCTCTCCTCTAGGGGGGAAAGGGAGTGTGAGACCCACCAGGTCATGGGCATGCTGCATGGGGGACACCCGGGGCCTAGCACATAGAGGGGACTTGTGAAAAGCCACATGCAACCACATACATTTAATCACAGCCGTGAATTAAGGGGAAATCCCAAGATCGTGTGCCATGCCCCAGGCTGATGAGAACAGCCACGATCAACACAAAAATAAACACAGGGGAGGGCCTCCAATACTCGGCTCAGGCGTCCCCTACACTAGCAGAAGTCTTCCAAGAAGACTGACAACGTGTGATGGACACAGCCTCCCACTTCTCACAGACACGCTCGCCAGGGTCCCTGAATTTTAAACCAGAGACTGTAAAAATCGCCAAGACAAGAAATGACTTAATACTCCAAGACGGAGTCTCGGAAGAAACATCAAAACATCCCGTAACATTGCAGAGAACACGGCCGACGCGCTGGAGGCCACTGAGACCCACGCCAGGCCAGAGTCCAGTGAGGACGGGCATCTTCCTTAGTCTAGCACCTGAAGACACAGAAGGAGCTGGTCTCATGTAAGAGAGTGTTTCGAACTGAGGAATACCAGGCAGCAAAAGGCGTACAGCGTGGTGCCCCCAGCCCCCCACTAAATGAGGAGCTTTGCTTCCAATTCTCGCCTTGAAAATGCACCATTGTTGGCAATTTTGTCGGTGCAGGCCCTCTCCATCCACCCCCAAAAGCTACCATGGCTCCCAAAAGACATCGGAAGGACAGTCAGCCGGCTGGCCCCTTTCCACCCCGGACCTTGAGAGCCCAGGGAGCTGGCTAGCCTTTTGTCTCCACGTACTCCCAGGTTCACAAACCCAACCCCACGTGCAGCCGGGTCTCACCTCACTGGGAGGGCGCCTCGCAGCGACAGGAGCGACGCGTGCCAGCCGTGGTTCTCTCGCGCCTGCGTGGCAGGCTCGCCCAGCCCGAGGCTGCAGACAACAGCAGGGTCAGGCTTTCACAAGAGTCAAGGACACGTCCCTAGTGCCATGTAAACCAGTAAATGCAATCCCAGTGACCCAAGTCATTCCAATCACTGGTCGGTCCTCCCTGGCCTGGGACAGGCCTGAATTATTGCAAGCACCTTCTAACAGGGAGGCAAACTCTGGGTTTGAACTTTTGAGTTCTGGCTCCAATGTTACCTGGCCCGCCGGCCACGGTGGCCACTCACTAAGCCCCCTGAGGGGCGCTGGAACGATCCAGGGGGACCCAGTAGCCTGGGGTGCCATTGAGGGTCTGAATAAAAATAAGGGGGTGGTGGAAGCATATGGAAAGAAGAGAATTTTGAAAAACCACTTGTACACGTAACAGAGTTAGTCCTGGTGATTACATTATTTTCCAAATAAACACATAAAACGCAAGTTATAATCGACCAGTGGTCAAGTCCACCAAGGTGTCTTAACAAGCAGATGGTGGCAGGCTGGCAGGCGTGTCTCAGCAGGAGTATGTGCATGTAATGACTTGTTTACAATACCACACTATGTGGTTTCATGATGCAATATTGCATCACCACTATTTCAATGCAGAAAAACCCACAAATTTACAATAAACGTTTACATTTAAGACGTATCATTTTTTAAAAATAGTTTCTATTTTTTTAGAAACGATGCAAATTTTAAAAATAAGTTAAAAGGTTAAAGAAAGCAGATTTCCCCGGGGTGCCCTGAGTAATTTTTTCTTGAAAAAGGGGGTGGCAGGCCATTGAAGTTTGGGAACCTCGGCACTAAGGGATCCCATAGGTAGCTAGGCGGCGCCACAGTAGGTAAGGGCCTGGAGTCAAGAAGACCCGAGTTCAAATCCAGCCTCAGCCGCTTATTAGCCGTGTGACCCTGGGCACGTCACTTCACCCCGTTTGCCTCGGTTTCCTCCTCTGTAAAGTGAACTGGAGAAGGAAATGGCCAACCCCTCCAGTGTCTCTGCCAAGAAAACCCCAAATGGGGTCACGGAGAGTGGGACAGGACTGGACAAGAAGGGGTCCCGTAATAGGCAGTGTAAAAGGGGGGGGAAGGTTGTCTGTCGTCCCCTCCCACCCTTAGGCAGCACCCCGGCGGGCACGCGCATCTCCCCGCTTCCCGGACCCCACACACTCCCGCCAGGCGCGGTGCCGCCTCCTCCGCGAAGCCCCCCAGGATCTGCCTCATCGCCCGCGCAAACGGCGTCACAGTTGGAGGCGCCCGGGACTCCTTGGGCGGGGGGGTGGGGGGGAAACTGAGGCCCAGGCGGCTGGGCCCTGTGACCCAGGTGTTCCCGCTGTGAGGCCCGCGCACAAGACGCCCCGCGAGGGGGGAGGGGCAGAGCGAGCCAAGGTCACCGGGGAGGGGGAGGGGCTCCTGCCCTGACCTCGGCCCACGTGACGCCTCCCCCGCCCGGCGGACTCACCAGGCACGGGGGCCCCAGGAGCGTCCCTGCCGAGCGAGCGCGCGGGCCGCGACCCCCAGCGCGGCCATGGCCGAGGCTGCGGCTCCGGCTCCGGCTCCGGCTCCGGTTCCGGTTCCGGTTCCGGTTCCGGCTCCTCCTGCCGCCGCCGCCGCCGCTCCGCGCCCTGCCTGTCCTCTCTGCGGTCCGCACCTCGCCCCGCGCACGCGCCTGGTGGCCCGGTGTCCCTGATATCGCGCTCCGCCGGCCCGACGCCGGGCTGCTCGCGTTCCGCCCGGCCCAGGGCGTGGGGGCGGGGCCTGCGGAGGCGGGGCCTGCGCGTGTGACGTAGGCCGCAGGAGGCGGGGCCTGTGCGTGACGTAGGCCGCAGGAGGCGGGGCCTTCCCTGCCAGCTGCTCCAAGCACCGACCCCCAGCTCTGTCTCCACTTGCGCGTACGTACTAGTTGTGTGATTCTAGGCAAGTCACTTTACCTCTGCCTCAGTTTCCTCATCTGTAAAATGGGGATAATCCTAGCCCCTCCCTCCCAGGTTTGATGGGATAAATTGAGATAATATTTGCACAGTGCTTTACACTCCCCAGTCCTTAAAAAACCCTCACTTGATCCATACATTTCCACTAGCTAGCGACCCCACATCTCTCCTCCCTTTGGGAGCTAACCTCCGTGAGAAGGCCGTCTACAAGCGACCCCTCCACCTCCTTTTCTCTCACTCTGTAGTCCCGCTTCCAAGGGAAACTCTTTCCACTTTTATTAACAGTCTCTTAATTGCCACATCTGGTGACCTTTCCTCAGTTCCCATCCCTCTTGACCTCTCTGCATCCCCCTTGATTCTCTCTTCCCTCGAGGATTTCGGGGCACCCCCTCCCAGTTCTCCTCCCACCTCTCTGACCGCTCCTTCTCTGCCTCCCTTACTGGATCTTCACCCAGATCACACCCTCTCACTGTAAGCGTCCCTGGGGGCTTCTTATATATTACTTCACTTGGAGATCTCATAAGCTCCCATGATTTAATTACCAAATCTATGCCGATGACCCTCAAATCTGTCTTTCCTGCCCTAATCTCTCTCCTGATCTCCAGTCTTCCATCTCTAACTACTTTTCGGACATTTCAAACTAGATGCCCAATAGACATCTTAAACTCAGTATGTCCAAAACTCATTCTCTTCCCCCCTAAATCCTACCCCTTCCTACCTTCCTATTACTATGGAGGGCACCATTATCCTCCCAGTCCTCCAGACTCACAGCCTAGGAGTCTTTCTGGACTGCTCTCACCCCCTATATCTAAGCTGTGACCAAGGCCTGTTCATGTTTCCTTTGCAGAATCTTTCCAATACATCCCCTTCTGTCCTCTGCCCCTGCCCCCACCCTGACGCAGGCCCTCATCCCCTCACCCCTGGACTGTTGCAGTAGCCGCTGGGGGGGAGGGGTCTGCTGCCTAAGCACCCGCCTTCCAGTCCAGTGTCCATTCAGCCAGCAAAGGGATCTTTCTGAAGTACTGATCTGACCGTGTTACTCTCCCTCCCCATTCAGTAAAATCTAGTGGCGGTTTGCTCACAGCTACCACATCGAGGCAGAAGAAAGGACTGATAAATTGAGGGGATGTCCATCCATCGGGGAATGGCTGAACAAGTTGTTTTATATGATCGTGGTGGAATACCATGGGCTATAAGAAATGATGAACAGGATGCTCTCAGAAAAGCCTGGAAGGAGTTACATGAACTGATGCAAAGTGAAATGAGCAGAACCAGGAGAACATTGTACACAGTAACAGTCACATTGTATGATGATCTACTGTGAATGACAGCAATACGATGATCTAAGACAATTCTGAAAGACTTATGATGAAAGGTGCTGTCCACCTCCAGAGAAGGAAGTGGTGGAGTCTGAATGCAGATCAAAGATACTTTTTATTTACTTTATTTTTCTTGTTTTTTTTCTTTTTGTCTGTGTTTTTTTTCCCAGCATGACTTAACATGGAAATGTGTTTTGCATGACTACACATGTATAATCTACATCAAATTGCTTGCCTTCTCAATTAGGAGGGGAGGGAAAGAATTTAGAACTCAAAATCTGAAAAAAATAATGTTAAAATTGTTAAAAATTGGGCAAAAAATAAAATGTTAAATTAAAAAGAAGAAGAAGAAAGGGCTTCTGTCCCTCCCTCACCCAACTCTTAGAACCAGCTCAAGGTAGTCTCGATTCACTGGAAACTTCAAAGCCAAGAGACGAAGGGAAGGGTCACGGCTTTTGTGTGCCTACCTAGGTCTGGCTTAGTAACCCATGAGTCATCACTTCTTCCAGCTCCACAGCCAATCAGAAGACTTTTCAACATCATGACCACAAATCCTCTCCTTCCAAGGTTCCACACGGTTACTTGGGCAGAAACCAAGCAGGGACTATCTGGGCAAACTTCAAGGCTTGGCCCTCACAAGCCAGCCAACTCTCATCACACTTCTGTCCTTAGCAAAAGAGCTGGGGTACATTCAAAGCCCATTATCTAAACCCCTAATCCAAAAGAGTCTTCTGATGGCCTAAGAGAGGCTCACCCATGGTCCGTTCAAGTTCCCAGGGACCTAGACTCAAAAGTCTGAGAAAAATCCACATGGCACAAATCCTTCACGCTGCTGCCGAAGTCATTTTCCATAAATACGAGCATCTATATAGTGTTTTAAGGTGTGCAAAGCGCTATAATTATCATGAACTCATTTAATCCTCACAACAACCCTGAGTGGGTGGGCTGTAATTATCCCCCTTTACAGATGAGGAAACTGAGGCTGAGCAAGGTTAAGTGACTTGCCCACCCAGCTTCAGGCTTATCAGATTTTTTGGATGATAATAAGTTGTAGCTTGCACATTGGACGACAGTCAAGATCCGGAAAAGTCTTGGCAGGCTAGCGCACAGGGCCAAATCTCATAAGATGAAATTCAATGGGGAAAAAAATATAAATCCAGGTTTTGTACTTGGATTCAAAAAATTCATTCTAACCATGGCAGAGCCTGGATAGTGCAGTGGTTAGAGCATGGGGCCTGGAGGCCCAGATTGGGAAGACCTGAGTTCAGATCTGGCCTCAGCAGCTCTCTGACCCTGGGCATGTGGCTTCTCATCTGTTTGCCTCAGTTTGTCGGAGAAAGATGGTGGGGTTTTTGTGAACTGTCAGATAAACAGTTTGACGCAGCAGCTTAAAAGGCTGACTTATTCTTGGACTTCACTGGGAGGGGCATTTTAGGGAACGGGGAGGCGACACCCCACCATCCTCTGCCCTCAGCAGGTCTCATCCCAAGAATCGGGTGGTTCAGTTCTGGGCGCCGTAGTTCAAGAAGGCTTTGATAAGCTGGAGAGTGGCCAGACGAGGCAGCCCGGGTGGGGAAGGGCCTCCATTACTCGTCCTATGAAGGTCAGTGGGAGGAACGGGGCATACTCACCCTGAGAAAACTAAGCAGGTGGGGGGAGGGTCTCCATAACTGTGCTTCAGTCAGCTCCTTCTGAGTAGGGACTGCTCCATTCTTTTTATCTGTACCCCTAGTGCCTAGCAAGGTGGTGCAGTGGATAAAGCACAGGCCTGGGGTCAGGAAGTCTCACCTTTGTGAGTTCAAATCTAGCCTCAGACACTTACTAGCTGTGTGACCTTGGGCAAGTCACTTAACCCCCATTGCCTCAGTTTGCTCATCTGTAAAACGGAGAAGGAAATGGCAAACCGCTCCAGTATCTCTGCCAAGAAAACCCCACGTGGGGTCACAAAGAGTCGTTTATGACTGAAGTAACTGAATAACAACAAAGTACCTAGTCAAGGGCCTGGCAATGATCAGTGCTAGTTAGGTGACCTGGATTACATTTTAATAGTCCTGCAAAAGCATTTCATAGGATCAATAGACCTTAGACAGGAGCTTCGGGCCATCTGGTCCAACCCTCGGTTTTACGTATAAAGAAACTGAAGCCCGAAGAGATGAAGTGACTTACTGAAGAGTCACACAGGAAGCAATCACCAGAGGCAGGGTTTGAACCCACGCCCTCTTTCCACAGTCCCCCAATTCTTCCATCATAGTCCCTTGCTCTGAGCGCCACACCTGGATAAGTTGAATGATAAGTTATGTAAATGCCTCTTTAGGGGAGAATTTCAGTTACATTAGTCATAGAACACAAGGTTGGGTTTTCCTGTGGTTTACTGTTGCACCCAAGGGCCCTTTCATCACCAAGAATGCACCTGTCGTGCAACCACCTTCTTCCCCAAAACAAAGGGGTAGCACTTAAGATATGCACTGTCTATCTATAACGAAAACCTTTTGAGAAACATGGAACTGGTTAGCGAGGGTGTGCAGGGCAGCTGCAAACGTTCCACGGGCTCGAGGTTAAGAACCCTGTTGGCCATCTTAAACCATATACCAAAATAAGGTCAAAGTGGGTACATGATTTAGACATAAAGGGGGGGACACAATAAGCAAATTGGGAGAGCGAGGAATAGTTTACCTGTCAGCTCTATGGAGAAGGGAAGAATTGATGACCAAACAAGAGACAGAGAGCATTACTAGGATAATTTTGATTATATGAAATCAAAAAGGTTTTGCACAAACAAAACCAATGCAACCAAGATTAGAAGAAAAGTAGAAAGCAGGGAAACAATTTTTATAGCAAATGTTTCTGATAAAGGCCTCATTTCTCAGATAAATAAAGAACTGAGTCAAATTTATAAGAATTTATAAGTCATTCCCCAATTGAGAAATGGTCAAATGATATGAACAGGCAGTTTTCAGAAGAAGAAATCAAAGCTCTCTGTAGTCATATGAAAAAAATGCTCTGAATCACTTTGACTAAAGAAATGCAAATTAAAACAACTCTGAGGAACCATCTCCCACCTATTAGATTGGCTAATAGGACGGAAAAGGAAAATGACAAATGTTGGAGGGGATGTGGGAAAATTGGGACACTAATGCACTGTTGGTGGAGTTGTGAACTGATCCAACTATTCTGCGGAGCAATTTGTAACTATGCCCAAAGGGCTATGAAGCTGTGCATACCCTTTGACCCAGCAATACTACCACTAGGTCTGTGTCCCAAAGAGATAAAAAGGAGAAAAAAAAAAGA